GAGTGGACAACCAGGGTTCGATCCCCGACGGGGGCAGAGAATTTCTCCCCTATCCTCTGCGTCATGACCGGCTCTGAGACCCACCCAACCTCCTATCCAAGGGTACCGGGGTCTTTTCCGCCGGGGGTAAAGCATGGCCGCCACGCTGACCACTCACTCCTATCGAGGGCCGAGGTAGCTTTTATAAATAATTACTTCCTGCTAGTGAAGAACCACGGTGTACTCGTAATTCCTCAAAGATTAATTGTAAATAAATCTCTTTAAGTATTTTATTGGACAAGGATGAATTTTCAACAAAAATTTGGGCTGACGTATTAAAAAAGATCGAAGTTAAATCTGACCATAGCGAACAAGCGACCCGTCTCGATAATGAGACATACGTTATCACGTTGGTACAACTGTGTGTTGGGTAGAGAAGAATGGCTAATCATCAGTTAACTCCTCCACAGCTGGTGGATCAATTAACTGGCTGATGGATAATGTACACTGAATTGGCAACTTCTTTTTTTACATACATCATGTTTGCCTAGAACAAGTAACTTCGTTTTGAAAGCGGAGTTAATTTAATAAATATGGTAGCAAAAATATCGATATGTAGTGAAATCGATTCTTACACGTCTACTGATCATTTAAGAGCAAGTGGTGACTATATGTACCACATTCTTTGTCATCAAATAACTGCATTTTGCCCACAATGTATTTATGTGTTTCGAATGATTCTCGCTGTAAACAGCGATTAGTTCCTTAAACAGCGTTAACCAGTTGATCTTTGTAATGGTGAAGTGTCGTGTTTTCTTCGCGGTACGGACTGAATTCTTACGTAATATTTACACGAGCTTCGGCTTCAAAGGATTAACCAGTTGATCTTTGTAATGGTGAAGTGTTGTGTTTTCTTCGCGGTACGGACTGAATTATAAATATTTAGACGAGCTTCGGCACTTTTATGTAGTGTAATTAACACGAAGGCCAATTCGAGACGAACGCGATGGAAAAATAAGTTACGTTTAGGCGTGCTCTAAACTTAAATATTATTCCTTTACATTCTAGTTAACGGTTTATGCTCTGGGATGCAGTTAATCCTACATGCTCGAAGCAGGAGAGAAAAATTACACAACCTGGAACTTCGTTAATTATAATTTTAACACCAAAAAAGGATGACAAAATGGGACGGACATGTATCACGCATTGGAGAGTAAAAAATGTTAATAAAATGTTACTTGTGAAACCTAGGAGAAAGCGACCACACGGAAGAACTAAGTGTAGATGCAAAGATATTATTAAAAAATTACCTTGAGAAAATGGGATGTGAGAAGGATTGGATTCATCTAGCTCAAGACAGGGACCGGCAGTAATTAGCTTCCTCGTTCCGTGCACGGCTCTTAATTACTTGACCAGCTGAGCAGCTATCAGCGTCTTAATAATGACTGATCAATTAAGTTCGTTCATCCTCCGCTACTGGAAGATTATGCGCGGTCAAGATAGGTATCACGAAGCGATCAGTTTAGTCGTAAAATTGCTTACAAACGTCATTGGCGTTGGTGCAGACGACATTGATCAAGAGCCAGGGTGAAGGAAGGAGGCGATTATTCTGTTCCTGCTTCAGAAACCGAGTTTCAAGTTTGTTTCCCCCATATAAATAAAATACTTCCGCAAATAACGTACAACGCCTCGCTAACCTGTTTTAAGTGTTCCTATCTGCGGTAACTTGTAAGATACTGTTTCTCTAAGAAACATCCTTAGTTCAGACCGATAAACCCTGAAAGTTACCAGACACAGCCATCAGGAATGGCGTTTCTGTCACATACAAAACATTTTAAAAAAGAAATTAGATTCATTACTCTGAGCTGTGACATCGAAAGGAAAAAATTAATAAATACGTAGAAAGGCGGTCACTACATTCAAAACTGTGAACCAAATATTTAATATCTTGTAAAAAAAATTACGAAACTTTCGGGACCGAACACTGAACTCTCTTAATGTTACACCAGCTCAGAATTTTGAACGGATCTCATCTTGATATTTAGTCTAAGATAAGACAATTGATAAATAATTAATTAGAAATTATATGGGAGGAAGTGGTCGTGGCCTAATTTAATGCATTATCCCTGTATTTGCGTGAAAGGACGGCAAAATCCTCGGAAAAACTCCGTCAGGTTAGTCGACCTCCGGGCTGGGATTTGAACCGGGAACCTCTAGAATACGAAATTGGTAACGTGGCTGACGAAAGGGTGGCACACCTGTGTCCTGTCCGGGAAGGGTTAAAATCTCGACCAGTGCACTCGTAACGCTCACAGGCCCTTAGGCATTTTCCAAATTTCCTCCGGACTACTTCAGGAACACAGCCTTAAATCAGTCTGCAACCACTTCCTGCCCCGTCCATCAGTAGCTGCAGTAGTCTGAGACGCCGACAGCGTCGTTATATGATATTAAACGACGTCTGTCCATCAACTGTTAAACGTATTGGAGCAGAACAGTTTCATACAACTTCCAAATTTTCCCTCAAGAGGGCAGATACTACAACGCGACTGGTAGAACTCCAAGTAGCAAAGTTTGAAACTACGTGACAGAGTACAGTATGTTCCTTACCATGTCCATAAGAGCCCACTACTAGTCCCTATCACGAGTCAAATTAATCCAGTCACCACCAGAAATCCATTTTAATATTACCTTCCAATCCACGCCTAGGTCAACGAAGATTGTATTCGGTTTACCATTACACTCCTTCGACAGAGCATTATCGATATATCTCGGGGTTTCTTCTTACATATGAGAACGTATTCAACGCACACATTTTTGCCCTGAACGGAATTCAAACCTAGCATCGGGGCAAAGACCTTGCTGCTATTAAATTGACTAACAGAAAAAAAAATTGAACGTCACAAAACGAAGAAAATACGCGAATCACTTCAGCTGCCCACTTTACAGAGTGGATTTGTGGGGGGGACTGTAGAAGTACAGTAAATCCTCCTCCAACGCGGATTATATTATACTCGTAAGAATATTTAATACTGACAACTATTTCCCGAACGCGTTAAATTCGTACAAATTGAAATATTCGCTCGCAGCGGCTGACCGGCTCAACGGATTTACTCCAAGGACTGTCCGTCTGTGACGAACAGAGGCAAGACTTCGATACTTAACAAGTGTCACTAACTAGCGACGTTTCGGAAAGGTAAGCACTGTCCGATAATGACGCTGTCCGGTACTATACGACCTTCCCGTATATCATTTTACTTTAAAGCTTAATTTCCGTTAATAATTTATTATATTACACTTTGTTCATAAATACCAATGCAGTATGTTCATATATTTTCTTTATTTCCGTGGTCGCTTACTCACATCGCCATTAAACCCATAGAATACTGAGTTCGTCCAACGCGGAATCACCGAACGTGCCATATGAGGGTTCACTGCACTTCACGTTAGATAACAGGATTAATTCACATCACGGAAGTACTAGATTATCCTTTCATTTATCCGTCCCCCCCCCCTCGACCCTCAAGCAGATATACCCTAAAATATGCTATAAACACGAATCTATAGTTCACAATTATCCTACAGAACATAAGCACTTGATACAGCATCGTAAAACTTATGTTTTAAATTTTATATTAACGCATGCAAAATTAAGGCTTGTGGCTGACTTCGACAAATCTAAAAATGGCTATTTTCTAAGCTGTTGCATCGCGTAATATATCATAAGTTTATGGCCACAATAACTTGAAATCTCACTTCAACATCTTTACAAATGAAACGTGTCCAAATCACACGATACATTGCAACTTCTTCAACTCAAGAACGTGTTACGTTTTCATCAATCGTCTAGTTCCAGTGTCACGTGACAGTTCAGTTGCTATCTGACGTTCAAACCCCGAACGTCATTCAACCACCATAATTACTGCATAGCCTCTCTACGGAACAGCTACTAAACATAATGTTAACATTATAATTGTACTCGCCATCATGGAATCCTGAACATCGCAAACCATATTAACCGTTGTCAAAGCGTATTTATTGTTTAAACACCAACTATTAACCACAAATATATTAAACAACACACAAAATGGGCGCTCACAACTTAAAACGTGTCCTCCTTCAACTTCAATCCCCACTACCGGAAGTGCACCGCTACGTCACACTGAGAAGCAGGGCTGCAAATCGAGCGAATTTACATTTCCCTTCAATTTTCCCCATGCAACTGGTGGAGAGGGTAAGAATCAGAGTTGCGTCTAAACGGTCAAATCTCCAGTTAAAAGATTTTTTGGTATCTCCAGCAAATCAGAGACTTTTTCCCCTATCGTAAAATTTAATTTAATTCAAATTCTAACCGGTATGTCGCGAGATTCTAGGCATACCACAAAACTTTGTATAAAAGAACTATAATAAAATTAAATACGTATATTAAAAAAATCAAAAGTTGTAAATATCACATTATCCCTAACCTAGTATATTTTATTAATTAGTTAACATCATATTTCTGTTTCGCGATTAGCAGAGGAATTTTAATGGAGTGATTCGTATAATTATTTGTAGTAATTTTGGTTGTTTAAAATTAAGAAAAAATGTTACCTTTTACAGACTTACTATTTCATATTTGGCTGTATAATTACGCTAAATACATTTCCTTTCAGAACGGGAATTTCGATAGATACATCGATTAAACATTTTCCTGCATGAGGATGAACGAGGCATGGAAATACAAAGGGACAAGAACTGGAGGAGTGCCAAAGCCGAGAAATGTCGTGGAATATCGTGAAGAACCTGACCTACCAATGCCATAAGCAGATTGGTCCAATAATCTGCAGACTTGGGGCGATCACTGAGGCGAAAATTATGTCTCCTGGCGCGTGGAGTGCAATGTCGGAGTGCGCATGCGCAAGTACCCATTCAGCCAGCTCCACCATCTCCGTAGACTTCTCATGAAGCACGAACAGTGCACTGCAATACCTAAAGCCCTTGTTCAGAACAAGTGATGGACTAGAAGCGAAGTGATCACTTAATGAAGATCGTATTTGAATCCGTTTATTTTTTTTATTTTTTTTTTTGTTTGTTTAAATTAAACCCGACTGAAACAAAAATAAAATTAAACTTGTGACAAAGAAATGTCCGTGTCCCCGAACATAGATTGGGAACCACGGAATTCAGGAAAGAAAGACCAATTTATTCAATTTCTTAACAAAAATATCATTCTAATTAACCTACACAATTCCGTATTTTTAGACAAATCAAGTCCTCGTGTTTGTTATTATTATTATTGAAGTTTAATCGAAGATTTTCCTGGCCTAGACGACACGGCCGATGTAGGCATTTTCATCAGATATTCTATCGTAAATAAGGACGGTTTGCTGGGGGTGAACTGGTCCTCGCCCTGTCTGATGCCTGTCGAGTCCTCCTCGCAGTGCTGCTTCAGGTCCTTCGGACTTCCAGGACACGCGACATCCACGGCAATCAGTGGCGTAGTTACCGCGAGACTGCTGTCCTTAACATCAGCAACGGCAGAGTTCGCCAACTGCAAAATAAAATTTCTTTTATCAGTTTCCAGGAGTGTATACGTTACCCGAAATCCGTCTAATTACTTTGTCCTACCCAAAATTAGAAATTCTTATCGCTGTCAGCAAATTTTTAAACTTCCTAAGTTAAAATTTCTAGTTTTGCCTAGGATAAGCTAGTTTTCAGACGGATCTCGAATGTTGTCGATAACACATTTACTAAGCAGATCATACCACATCTATATTTAATTTTTAAAGTACCCGGCTCGGATACCAATCACAACCCATCATACTAGTGGTTTCCATGGTTACACTTAATTCCATTCGTTTGTTTACTTATCAGCTACATATCGATAATGCTTATCGCTGTCAGCAAATTTTTAAACTTCCTAAGTTAAAATTTCTAGTTTTGCCTAGGATAAGCTAGTTTTCAGACGGATCTCGAATGTTGTCGATAACACATTTACTAAGCAGATCATACCACATCTATATTTAATTTTTAAAGTACCCGGCTCGGATACCAATCACAACCCATCATACTAGTGGTTTCCATGGTTACACTTAATTCCATTCGTTTGTTTACTTATCAGCTACATATCGATAATGCAAACATTATTTTATTTATTTAGTGTTCCGTCTGACGACAGGTCCATATGAACAGGATCCTTCCATCCTTTTCTCGGACTGGGACCTGTTCATATACGTTTTTGGCAGATGATCCAGAAGTGGTTTGCCGTTGCCTTCTTCTGTGTGTGAATGGAGTAATTGTTGGGATGCCACGGAGAAACCGGGGAAGCCCCCGGAGGAAAACTCCGTGTTGCCTAGACCACGGCCTTGCCCAACACAAGTTATAAATTCGGGCACCGCCGGGAATCGAACCCGAGACCCCAGGATTACAAGGCCAGCCAGCGTTCTAGTTTTAATTAGAAAGCCCGAAACGAACACACCATTTGGAGTACATTGACACGACAAAGACTCCTACCGGGAGATAGACGAAGCAAGTGGGACCCCTGGGTTTTAAAGGGTCAGAAAACAAAGTGAATATACGAAATCTGTATGAATTTTGCGGTTTAACCGGGTAATCACCGTACCTGAGCATAAAATGTGTGATATTTCGGTTCGTAAACGTTCATCATATAAGTTTACAAGCACAGTGACGGTAAAGAACTTTGAGGTTATGTCTGAACTTACCTGCTGGTGCACTGAACGCGCACCAACCCGTTCGGCCCGCTGTCTTCTGGGTCGACGTCGTCTGTAGTTTCCTCGTTCAAACATGTCGGCCTCACCCGGATCCAAAGTCCAATAACTACCTTTCCCTCCGCCATTACCGCCATCAGCGCTGGTCTTCTCCCGCGGCACTTTGACGAAACAATCGTTGAGACTCAAGTTATGTCTTATTGAATTCTGCCAGCCCTGTTTGTTATCACGATAATAAGGAAACCTTTCCATGATAAACTTATAGATCCCGTTTAATGTTATCCTTTGATTTGGAGCAGATGAAATGGCCATTGCGATCAGGGCGATGTAAGAGTAGGGTGGTTTTTCGGGGCGGGGGGTGTGTTGCAGTAGGAAGGGTGGTCCTGTAACTTTCCCTCCGTTGTGGCTAGGTAGAAACAAAGGCAAGTGATGGTCAAATACGAAGTGGTTGGTATATAAAGACGTCTTAGCAAAAGGCATTAGCAAGGGAGAGAAATCTTGAGAAATTGTTGTAGCAGTTCCTGA